GAGGAGGTATGGGTGAGATGTTAAATAATCAAAGTTTCTGTGAAGCACCTATTTGATGGTTACCTTTCAGCTTAGTGCATGACTTCAGTCTGTTGGTGCAGAGTTTTGTCATCTTGTTCCTTATTTAACTTGTCTATGTCTCATATCTTTAGTCTTTTCTGTTCATAATTGATCTATGCATAGTTGATCTATTAATATATTTTCTCTAGTACTTCACTGCTTATAGTCTCTTCTGCTTCCACATAATAAATACACAAAGAAACCCTGAGCTGATATAGGCTGATATCAGTCGTTCTAAATCTCTACACTTTTCTTATGGTATAATGAAAATGGGCTATTTATTTTCTTCATATTCATTTTGTTGTGGAACACTTGACAGTGATCTGTCTCCCTTGTACTCTGATAGTCTCTTGTGGGACTTTCAAATGGTACTACTAAGCCAGTTCTTCATCTAGTGCTTTGGCATACTGAAAGAATTTTAGATAAGAAGACTGTTTTTCTTTTAGAGGCCCTGATATTTACACTTAGTCATATTATTTGCTAGAAATTTCAAACTGTAGTTTATGTGGCATTGAGTGAAGGAATTATTTGACTTATCTCAAGAAACTGAAGTCTAACTACAAATTTGAATTACCATTTTGCAGTCCTTTGGAATAATACTTTTGCTTAATGAGAGTGTGCATGATTTTCTTAATAGTTCAGCTATTTCACTGCTAAATTCTTTCCATTAGCTCATGATGGATGTTCTGTTTTATTTAGAAGAATGGGCATTGCATTCATTAGGCAAACTTCATTAAATTTGGAGCTCAATCAACTAGAACTATAATTATATGAAGAGGAAACTTCCTAATCTGACGTTTTTAAAACGGAGCCTTTTTGGAATTGGTTATTATCGTCTGTGACATGACTAGCTGAGCCTTTGTATTGAACAGAGGCAGACACTGGGAGGAGTGCCTTCAGCTAGCAGAAGTGTTATTTTCTATTATAGTTTAATTGTTTTATAGGCTTTTTTCACCACAATGAGACATCTGCTCCCTCTATATGTGGAGCAATAATAGACTGCTTGAGGTGGTAGCAAGAAGTGTATACTATAAACTGTTATCTCATCATTTAGGGTTACTTTATGGCACTTTGAATGATACCTTCTGCAGTTTAATTCCAGGAAGGTTATCCCCTTGTCCTTTTGATCCAAAATTTATGGATCTTGGCATGGCTGGGAAAGAAGAAAAAGGAGCATTCTCTATTATGAATGGAAAATTATTTCACTTTATGACTTTAGATGAATGGTTTCTATCAGCATCAGTAGGGGGAAGGACTGCTGCCTATCCATTTCTCCTTTACCTATAGCAGCACACTGACCCTAGTGCAGGCTAGTGACTGGAACACTTGCTGTTTCTTCCTTCTTCAGTTTGCAGTCTCTGCCTTGCTGCAAGTGTAGTACATTTTAAGATGAAGAATGTCACTGTTTGTTTTGGTCAAGCTGTAGATACTGAAGAATTCAGTGGAAGGTCTTACTTAAGAACAAATTAAGAATGACATCCTCTCTACACAGTCCTTGAAGAAAGAAGCTGAGAGCTAATTTTACTCTCTGACCAAGCATCATGTAGCCCACAAATAGTTTTAAGATGTACCTGTCTTGCAGTATGGAGTAGCCAAGGTGTTAAATGTGTATTGTCCTCAGTGTTGCATTATGTTCAGTTCTGCCCTGTATTCTTGTAGATACAAGACTTCTGAGTGTGAATTCTGCATTTTGGGCTTTTCCACCTCAATGCCCATGAGGAAGGAATTAGCTTGCTTCCTGCTGCCTGATTGACATTAAAGAAGAAGACTGGGCAGACAATCTGTTGCAAAATTTTGATTCGTCATCTCTTGACCTTTTGGAAACATTTTCAGCCAAAAGGATTTGAAAATGCAAAGATTGTTCTTCTGAGTCTTCCTCAAGGAAGAAGTACTCATGTGTAGAAATAAGAAAAATAACTCAAGTTTGGTCAAAATAGTGTGCTTATATAAAAAAAGAAAAACTAATAATTTATTATAGGTTGGGATGGATATGCTATCCTTACAAGATTGGGATAAAAAAGAGTTGAGCTTGCACATGGAGTCTAGAAACTATAACCACACTGATTTGTGCCTCAGAAACAGGTGCCCATCACTGCTTAGGAAAGAGGCACATGAAAATAGAATAGGCTTTTCTCAGTAATGTTTTGTTTGACGTTCATGGTTCTAGAAAACATAAACATGAAAGGTGAAAGAAAGGAGTGTAAAGGCAGCTGGAATGAGGGTTTGAACAATGTAGTAGGGTATGGCCCAGACAAAAATCTCAAAGTGTGCCTATGCCTTTAGTTGACTCTAAGGTACAAAAAGTGCTGAATAAGCCAGTTTTTTGGGCTGCACTTGTTTCTGTGGCTGCAAACAGCACCAAAGGATCTGTAGAAGGGTTGTAGGCAATCCCTTTTGGGGACCTACTATTTTAGGTGAGATCTCTGTATATGGGGTTCAGGGCTCACTTTTAACACAGGGATAGTGAAAGCAAATTTCTTGTCTTTATTTGGCGAGGTCATATTTTTCAGTCATTATGGGATGCTCTAGGGAAACATTGAACACCTTTGATCAGCTCTGGAGAGAGCTCTGTTCTGTTCTCTCTGAATTCATCTATTGGATTTGTTAGATGGCAAAAGTTGTGTGCTTTTTAATTTCCATGGCCCTTCTTTTGTGGCTCTGTGCAAAGAGAATTCAGCTAAAAGGGTTGTTTAAATTTGTGGTTTTGAAGATACTTTCTTGACATCTGGCAAGTAGTTATTCTTGCCCCTAACATACTACTCTCCCATATTGTTGACAGTGGAATGTAGTTCTGAGATCCAGAAAACTGTGGAAGATTGTACCATGGTGTTTGAAGTCCTTTGGAGTAGGTGTGAGGAGGTAGGGTGGCGGACAATGACACGCCAGGCCATTTCCATGCAATGTGTTTTCTGCATCCCTTGCAAGCTGAAGAATACGAGAGCTTACTGATCTGATTACCACTGTGTTTAAGTTGGAAGGCTTTTACTATTTGAAACTATTGCAAGAGGAACTTCCAGGATTTCCCAAGACTTATGTATCTCTATTCATTCAAACACTGTGTGTATTTGACAATTTGATCAATGTGATTTAAATAAGGGAACAGAAATTACTTTGAGCATGTGGTGGAAGCTGTATAACACATTCCAACTTTATGTAAAAAAAATACTTTGTCAGCTGGTGCTGAAGGTAGTCCTTGTGTCATGGTCTTATTTGCATATTTTTGAAGTGATAAATTAGATAACTGTCACATGATGCTTTTGAGAAGGTGCTAAGTTAAGTGCAGTGCTGTGGCTCTGCTCAAAGCAACCTCCACTTTAGCATAAGCAGTGGAATTTGTCATTTGGCTGAAGGTGTTAAACCTTATAGTACTTGAGCACCCCAGTGAATTCATTTCCAGAGAGTTGTAGGTATGGCTGGTGGACAATTTGTCAAAGGATTTGTCTTTTAATTAATCTTGCAAAAGGTAGCGTGTCCCAATCTCTACTTGAATTTTCTTAACAAACACTGCCAACTTCAGGCTTTTAAAATCTAATTGAAATTAATTAAAAGCAATGCATGGCTATTCTTTAAAAATTAGTTGGTGGTTACTTTGTCATGGATACTGTTGTGTTTAATTTTTATTATCTGGAGAAAGAAGTCCCTGCAAATGGAATTAAGCTTTCTCAGTCATTTAGATGTGTGAAAGAAACACAGTGGGGATGATGGCTTCATTCAATTACTGTTATGTTTGAGGGGAAAAAATATAGCTCTAACCATGTGAAAGTCAGAAATGGATTAATAAGAACTACCAAGCAGGAACACTGCTGTAGAGATTCCCATTAGAGGTGGAAAGCACTTTTAAAGAACCCTAAAATGGGCTTGTCACTAGCGTCATTAAATTACGCATCAATTCACCAGAGTTTATAAACCAGCATGCACTGGTGTATAGATTATAGATTACTGGTGTATGATTAATTTTTCATTCAGTGAAATTTGGTGACTTTGTTGGTGCACAGGAAGTTTTAAACACTTAATCAAAACAGATAACTCAGGATGATTTTAGTTTCCTCTAGAAACCAAGACCTGTGCCTACTGAGGGCAGCAGGTTTGGTCGGGATGGCCTAGGGAGATCAGGGCTCTCATGGGCCGCGGCTCACCATCTCCTCATCCCTTGCACAGACCGATGAGTCACTCATCAATCAGCTCTAAATTGCTGCTGTTTCAAGTGAATGGCATTTCAGCTTAAAGCACCATTGATTTTTATTTGGCTTTCAATGCTCCACTTGAAGTGGTGACAGTTGAGAAATCCATTAGCGCTCCTAGCGCGTCCCTGCAGACGCCCAGGAGAACATCTTGGGACTGCGGCTCTGGCACTCGCGCCCGGCCAGCGCTTCCCTGCTCATCAGGCCGTGCTTTTCAATCATTAGCTAGCGTCCATAATTGCCAAACTTTGAATATTTCAGAAGTAAATGTTGGGAAATGCAAGGCATTACTAAGGCGTTACTGCAAGTGCTGATTGCTTTATCTTGCCTATGCCTTTTTTTTTTTCCTCCCCTAATGCTTCCATCCTAGAATTCCTAGTAGCTTTTTGAAGCTGAATGTCTTTCTGTCCTTTGGTTTTTTGTGGGGTTTTTTTTGTGTCAAAGTACAGTTGCTCAAGTTCAAGTTGGGAAAGCAGATGAGAAGGGCTCTTTTTTTCTGTCTTTAGCATTCTTTTCTCTGCAGAAGCCAAACTGTGCCAGAGGATTGATACTTTCAAAGAGAAGTGGGAATTCTCTTCTGTACCTGATAATTCCTTGCTCATTATTTGAGCAAGGATAATTCTTTGATAATTCTTTGTGCTGACACCTTTGTAGTAACTTTGCTTTGCTACTGCTTGGGTTATTTTCTCATGTTTGTGATGTTTAAGAAAAGTAGTGAAATAGTCACTTGTAATAGAAACCCTTCTTTTTTGCACGTAGGAAACTCACAAATGGGTGCTACCATAGTAGATGCATTGGATACTCTTTATATCATGGGCCTTCACGATGAATTCAGAGAAGGACAAGAATGGATTGACAAAAATCTTGATTTCAGTGTGGTGAGTACAGCCTGCCCTAAATATTTCTGTAGTTCTTTTCAAATGTTCATCTTGGAAGAGGTCTTTCAGGTGAAACTTAATAAAAATTACAGATCAAAGTGTTAGATGTGAACTTGTAACAGATGTGACATTCTTTGTGTATCTGACTTTGTTTTAGGAAAAAAAAATGGCATGACCTTTTCACAGTTATGATTCTAAGTAGAGATACACCTATATATTGTATTTTCAAAGTACAAATTATAACTGGATAATGGAAGTAACAGAAAATGTTTTGTGAGAAGCAGTCAGGTCTCAGAAATGAAGACACAAAGATGAGGTTTTATGGGCTGATAGTTGTTGCAAATAAGTGAGCTATGAAAGACAATTTTTCCCAAAACTACAGTGTGTAAATTAATTACGAATACAATCTCTTCTTCCATTTCTTAAGAGTTTTAACACAAAATATGCCACTTGAATTCGTGAGTTTTCCTACAGGCTCCTAATCTATCACAAGAATTTCCCAGTTGGTCATACAGTGTCTGACATTCTTGAGAAGCATTAAATGGAAGAAATGGCTCTATTTTAGTCTTATTGATTAGTGTTCTTTGTACTAATTTTGGGACTGTCACAGACTCTGTGATGGAATTTGTATTTCAGTCCTTGGATTTGCCCTATGGTTCCAAAAATAATTTTTCATTCAGTAAATGTACCTAATGAAATATAGTTGTATACTCCAAATTCAGCAAATGCTTACTGTTATTTCTTTATTTTAACTCACTTTTCAAAAATTATTTGTTTGGGCTTTTTCCTTTTGATTTATACCTTGACTGTCTGGCAAACATCAAAGAAATTTTACTCTGCTTTTTCTGTTAGTGCTAGATAATTATTCAGTCTAAAACTGAAGATCCTAAATATATCAGAGACAGTGTAGAGATAATGATGCCATTATGAGGATGAACTAAATTGCTTCCATAACTTTTGTCTGATCTAAGGCAATTTCAATATAAATTTGCAGTATTAATCTAGGATTTGGATGGAAGAAATTTACATGACCCTCTGGGGTTCAGTTACATCTTCCTATGTATCAAAAACCATTTCTGAAGGTTAATGAGTTGTCTTGTGTATACACCAAATTTGAATAATTTTCTTACATAGTTTGGAGTTTATAAATAAATACATAAATATGATCCTCTTGGATTCTTCTACTGGGAAATGGAAATCATTGGTTTCACTTTACACTGTCCCACTGCATGTGTGATTCATGACTTTAATAGGTATTAAGTGGAATCATGCTGCATTGGTGTTATTTTTCTTGTATCACCTCTATGTGAAAAGGGAAAACGTTTTACTAAAAACATTTGGGAGTATTTCAAACTTCCAAGTTTTAATCAGTGCTGTTTGAATAAATTTTTATTCACATAATCTTTCTGAAATACGTAATATGTGCAAAATTAATTTAGTTTTGGTCCAAGCACTGCAGGTACCAGAGAAATTGCACAAAAGGAAAGACGTACCTGTAAATGTCATTTCAGCTGTGTGCAGATTGGTGACTCAGCTTGTTCAGTGCACATTGTAGTGACTTTTCTGGATAAAAGGAAAAGTCTTGCCTATCTCAAAATCTCTTAATAAAACTATATTTCTGTGTCTAATAGGTTGAAGAGAAGTTTATGGGGAGACAGATGGAGTGTATGTGGAAAATTAGCTGAATGGGGCACAGAGGGAGTCAGTTGCTAAAACTATCTGATTCCTCTTAATTTTTTGTGGGTTAAATGAGTCAAAAGATACTGTTGAATTTAACCTAGGGATAATAATGTGGAGGAAGGCAATAAAATCGTTTATTCTCTTGAATTTCTCAGTGGTCCTGCAGTAGTACTTGTCATAACAGAAAAGCTATTCCGAGACAAAGATTATGTTAAAATAGAGCTCTGAATTTGAGTTTAGTAATTTAGGTTAAAAAAGTGCATTATGGGAATTCTCTAATTATCATTTTGCTTTATCTTTTTAAACTAGAAGGTTTGGTGCTATGCTGAAACATAAAAGAGAAGATGCTGAATTATAGAAATGTGTAGTCCTTGCCTCCTTTTCCACCAGCCCAAATTACTGTAATTGTACTTTGTGGTGATAAAATGGTTAGAGGGCAGGAGAAAAACTAATTTGATTTTATTAAAATCGGTTGAAGCTGTAACTAGAATTGTCATTTGGTGTCACAAAGATGTGCATGAGAATTTCAGTTTGGATCTAGAGACTGCAACAGTACAGACCCTTGCATGTGGATTGCCTTAGGATATATACTTTCTTCTGCCTTGACAATTTTTTTCTTCCTTCATTAAGGAGTTGGTTAATTATTTATTAATGCTCTCTTTCTGTTCTAGAATTCCGAAGTGTCTGTTTTTGAGGTCAATATTCGCTTCATTGGCGGTCTTCTGGCAGCATACTACCTTTCAGGACAAGAGGTAAGGAGATTGAAAGGTGTCTGAAATTCATTGTCTTCTACCAAATGTGGCATATGGAGACTTTTGTAGGATCTTGATTTCTCAGTAGCTTGCAAACTAATTTCACAGTAGTCAGTTGTCCAAAATATTAAAATTCTTAGAGTATGGAATCTTTAAAGTTTGTTTCTGAGTAGATCTCTTGGCATTTAGGACGCTTGGTTACAGTTTTGAAATGCTTCTTTTATCGAGATGTTTTCAGAAGATATCCACTCAAATAAGCATCAGCTTGAAATGTCAAGTGAAATGTCAACCTTTTCATGCCAACAATAACTTGTTTTGATATTCTGTAGCTCCATGAAGGTAGAAATAATAGCTTTGTCACTTGTCCTGCAAGGATGTAGGTTTGCTTCATCAAAGTGCTACTCAATCTTCTTACCATTTTCTTGGTGACAAACTGGGAAATAGCAAGCCAATTTTATACAGCTTCTGAAACTTCTGTTAAAAAAATGTAGATTCATGCTTGGATTGACAGGATGCATGTCCCCAGAGACTTGCAACAATGGACTTCCTTGGTCCAGCAGTCACAGTACTGACCTCTTACTTCACATACTTTAACAAGAGTAGAGCTTGACCCCCAGCTCTTCTTATATCTTAGGAGCTGCATGAATTTAACTTATTGCCTGTGTCTTTGATTCTTTGGTTTTGTCCTTTATTTTTCATGACCCATCTGTAGCCCACTACCAGGCATATTTCATGGCTTTCAGGTGTTCTTGGGTAACTACTTTGTTTAGAGAAGCACCATATATGTACCAACAAGTTGTCAGGGATTTTAAGACTGCAGCCCTAAAAGTAACCAAGAGAAAACTCATAATTTATTGTCTCTTTATCAGTGAATTTTCTCCTTTATGAGGGTCTTCTCTTAGGAAGAAGAGCTCAGCAGCAAAGCAAAAATCCTGTGTAGCTCTTGAAAGAAACGGGTGGTTTATTTTTCATCCAGTGCTCCTGCTTCACCTTCTTCAAACTGCACCATGCTCCTTAGAGGTATCTACTCTGAATATGAAAAACCTCAGAGAAAAAGCTAGGATCACACGTTCACAGCTGAATTATTTGTATATATTGATACTGCACTTGTGCACAAGCCCCTTAAAAAGAACTTTTTTGCCCCAGTATGCAGATGGGTGCAGCCAAGCACTGCCAAAACATATGCTTTGCCTGCATTTGTAAAGGAGAATATTCTTTCTTAAATTTGCTTCTAACCTTTTGGTAGAGTCAGAACAAGCTCTTTTGCTTAAATAACTTTAATTTCTTTCCTTCATAGAAAACATCTACCCTTTCTTTCCTAAATGTTGGCTGGGCTGAGTCTTTTGTTTTTAAGATTTTTATGGCATCATTCTCTCCAACAGACTTCAAATGCTTCATGGCTTGTGATACAGGATTCCCGTCAAATGTCCATATGTATCATCTTTATTTTCCTAAGGAACTGCTAAAAAAAGTGCTCAGACTGCATTTCTTTCAAAATAGTGTGGCAGCTAGGATTGCTTTGGGTATCTGAGACGCTGCTTCATTTGCCAAGTTGGATGGGTTTTCTCTGCAATTTGTCGTTGTGGATATGACAAGCAAGGGATTTTGAGGCTCTTCAGCAATTGAGCCCAGGAGAGACACCTGCGTCTGGGAACTCCTTGGAGTCAGAAACAGGTTGCTTGAGATGTGATTTCCAATCTGGTCCTCTCTCTTCCCCAAAAAGGGAACATATTCCTGAGCTCAGGATTGGAACATGTTTGATTTCTTTATTCACTGCATTCAGACATGTGAGGAGCACTTTGTAGCATTGCTAAGACAGACAAGCCTGTTCCCAGCCTTTTGGGTGTTTTGCCTGCTCAGGTTGTGAATGTGCACATGGGCTTACACCTTTAGGCAGTCTCTGTCCTTTCTTTGTTCATCAAGCCATCATTTGCTTGATCATATTCACTTACCATACCTTGTTGATATTCCAGTCACCATCTTCCTATCTCCAAACCTCTACTTCTGCAAGGCTGTTGCTAGATTGGTTTTAGAAGGTTTTCATACTGATTTTCCATACTTTTGCATGTCTTGTTTGATGTATTTATAGTAAGGTCCGGTACAATGAGCTGCTGCTTTGAATTAATCCTGTTTTTTCCTTTAAAGAAATATAAATTCTGCTTAGGTCTGCAACAGGAGTTACTGCTGTTTGGTGATAGTTACTAAAGCTGCTCTTACTTAATTTGGACTCCTGCCACTTAGTGTTGATAAAGGTGCTGTAGGGACAACCATAAAACAGTGTCCAAGACTCAATATCAGCTGTGGAACTGTAATAATTTGTAAATGATCATGTCTGGAGAATTTTAAAGTCCTCATGGTGTATCTACAATGCCCTTTGTAGGGAGAGAGCAACTGTGCCTGACAGGATTCTATCTGATTGATTCATAATGGTAGCTATTGATCATAGTTTTCAAGCACAGCAGATGATTAATTTGGATTAAATAGTCCTTTAAAATGCTTTTATTGAAAACATGCTAGATTTAAAATTTATTTAACATGTTTAGTGGCATGACTCTGTGGCTTCCATACTGTATTTAAACTGTCACATTACTGCTATTACTTAGAGGAGCATCAACTCAAATCATGGTTTTAATAATGCTGATTATAGGTAATGGTAGAATTTTAAGCCTTTTTTACTAAGATTGTGAGTATTGCTGTCCTTTCATCAGTAAGGGTTCCCTCTTACTCACTGCAGTGAATGGGTGAATAGTGAAATATATCTCCCATACCACCAAAAATAAAGTTGCTGTTTTTAGCAGCTGACAGCTTGGCTGAAAATGCTGTAGGGCTTGTCCTGTCCAGTGCTGAGTCACAGGCCTTTGTAAAACATGACATGTGTAAAATTTTTAACAGCTCAGCCTTTCACATGTGGGAATTTCTGGTGGGCTTTCATAAGTGATGAGCATGTAAAGCTAAAGCTTGAGAAGGATTCATTTTGGTGCAAATGTCATGGTTGTCTTGCCTCCCTGTACCTGTGTGCTAAAGTAGGGAAACAAAATTGTTTCCCTGTCTAACAGGCTGTTCTCTTGATGTGTGAAAGATCACCACCTTTCTCCATTTTTCCATCTCAGCGTGCCATTTGAATGGAAGATAATCAAGATACAACTGCAAACCTTAACACAGTTGAAAATTTGCCCATGCATTCTGTTTCAGTCTTCTGAAGTTGAAGCAGCACTGATAATACCTCTCTGGTGGCAGAGGTTGCAGACCTGCAGTCTGGGGGCCCTTGTTTAAATCCTCTGCACAGTATGTTTTTCCTGGCTGATTGTGGACAGGCCATCTGGTGTCTGGCTAGGTATATGTTACCAGATAAAAGTGTGTTCCTTCTTTGTCTCAGTTCCCACAGAGAAATGAGGTCTCAATCTGTCATCAATTTTGAGATTCTTTGAGGCAATGACTTTTCTCTGCAGGGTACATTATTGAACTATATCATGAATATATGCTAAAATCATGGAATATAGGATCATAGAATGGTTTGGGTTGGAAAGGACCTTTGAAGATCATCTAGTACAGCCCCCTCACTGTAGACAGGGACAGCTTTCTACAGACACATTCCTCAGAGCCCTCTCTGACCTGGCCTTGAACACTGCCAGGGAAGGTGTGTTCACAGCTTCCCTGGGCAGTACAACCTCGTTACCCTCATTGTAACAAATGCCTTCCTAATAGGGCCCTAAGAGGACTTTGAGCAGCCTGATGTGGTGGTGGAAGGTGTCCCTTGGCAGGGGTTGGAACTAGATGATCTTTAGGAGTGTCTTCCAATGTGAACAGTCTTGTGATAATATCCACTCTAAAACTACCCTCTTTCAGTTTTAAAACAGTTGTTCCTTCTCCTGTCATTAGAGACCATAGTAGAAAGTCCTCTTCATCTTTCTTGGAAGCCAGGCCCCCTTCAGGTGCTGGAAGGTGCTAGAAGGTCCCTCTGGAGCCTTCTCCATGCTGAACAACCTCAACTCTCTTAGCCTGCCTTCAAAGGAGATGTGCCTCAGCCCTCGGATCATTTTTGTGACCATCTTCTCAACCTGCTCCAACAGGGCCACATTCTTCTTTTATTGGGACCCCAGAGCTGCAAATGGTATTAGGGTCCTCGGTATAAGTGGGGGTTCAGTGTATTTCTTTTGAAATGGTATAAATGAAAGAAAGAGGAGGTTGGACCAGATGATCGCCCGTGGTCCCTTCCAACCTGACTGATTCTGTGCAACAGAGGGAGGCTCAATAAAAAATGAAGGAAAAAAGCATGGTCTCTCCTGGGAGTGCTGTGTGTCATAAAATAATAGAATAATCTAGGTTGGAAAACACCTTGACAATAGAGTTCAGCCTCTCCAAGTAGACTCTCTTGTATTTTGCTGTATGCCAGAGATTTCTTCCCAGTTCCAGTAAGCAACCAGTGCAAAGTGTTCACTCATTGTTATTCTATATTAAATTGTATGCTAATAGGTATAATCTCTTAAGTACCTAAATACCTACATAAGAATTGCAAAATTCATTGTGTCTATATTTAATAAGGAGCCACTAATTAAATGTTTTTGAGGTATAGAGTTTATGAGAGTTGCTTAGTAGAATTGTGAGTGACTGGGAGACATACTGTGAAAACTAGGCACTCCTATTTTCTACCCCAGGTTGTGATAAAATGGATAACATGTTTGTAGTTTACATTTTGATCAAACAGGATTGTAGTTAAAGTGTGTGAAGTGCAAGCTTCCCACCTTCTGAGTTCAGAGGAACCACTGTGCTTCCTCTTTTGCGTCTGTCAAATAGAGTTAATAGTCCAAAATAACATATTGATGGTATAATATGTAATGAATTCTTATCTAAATTGAACCAGACTGTTTCTCAGTAATCCCTGCAACAATCCTTTAATTTCTGTAAGAACTATGTAGAGTCTTCATCATGCTTGTGGGTTGGGGGTGAGGGACAACACCATGATACAGCTGATAATGTAAAAGAAATAAGTAGAAATTAAA